CAAACGGGCCGAATGACATGTGCCCCATTAGCACCATAACATCCAAAGAAGTAACCCCGCCTTAACACAACCGAGCAAATTCCTACTTCATGCGTACTATATCATCCACTAATAACAACTCAATCATTCCATGATTCCCATATACCCATAAAGTATAATACACCATGCATCCAGAAATTCCCTTGCTTAAGTCATCCTCAAAACTAACCTCTGCAAGTCATATTTGATATACAAGTACGTCTCAGACCGAAACCAATACGACATGTAATCATGCAATCAAATCGTCGATAGTAGACTCCCTCACTTGGATCAAAGCCATAGATCAAAACACTAGATAACTCACAATGCTCATACTCTATTACTGCTATAATACTGTAATGAGATTCATCTAAATCCTTCATAAGCTCATGTAATACAAACCATATAATATCTCAAATCATCTGCTAAGCTCGCATTCATCCTCGTGACGGTCAGGTTAACTTTCTCATCCAATCCAAACTCAAATCGCAACATCTATACCCACTGGTAGAAAAGAAATCCTCCACACAACATCATAAGGATCACACATCCGTAGATTAACCCACGGGTGATAACCCACCTGCTTAGCCTCAAACTGACATCTCTCTATACCCTTTCACAGCCACAACTACTACGCAATCACTTAATCTTCTTGAGTTTGAATTCATCAACAAGACATGAAAATCTACTTCGTCCCACCAATGAAATAACATGAAAGAATCCCTCAAAATTCTCATAACTCCAGACCGTATAACACATCCACAGTAATTAAGCACCCAATAGCCCTTTTTGCATCTCAAGCAAACTCTTCTCAACACATTCAAACCATCTGAACACATCTCGCAGTCACATCACACTCATCATATAGCCATCCAACTACTCATCGAGCCACAAATTCCACTCATAGGGACACTATCGGACATATAGGTCCAAAAGCGCATGCTCACACAACTGAAACTACCAAGCCTAAGCTGCGGTCCAAATCGAGCCTCAAGTCCTCCAGACTAGCCCATCACCAAAACATAAAAAACACATCTCGCACCTCACTTGTGGAATCCACAAGCCGTCGATGTACAACTGATACCGAGCGCTCACATGAGCATACGAGTGAGTGAAAGGAATTCAAATAGATATACTTCAAGATGAATTAATGTCACACGATAAGGAAAAAAAGATGGGAAGTTTATCCTAAATGTCCTATAGCCTCTCAAAGATAGGTATGGACGTCATCATACCGATCCGCAAGACTCTACTAGACACTTGCTTATACTTGTAGAACCTATGAACCTAGAGCTCTAATACCAACTTATCACGACCCAAAATCCAACTAGTCGTGATGCCACCTAACCCAACCCACTAGGTAAGCCAATTAGCAACAATCCAATTCGAATGAGATTTACTGAGAGAAATAATGATAATATAACTGAACTTTTATACACTTCCCAATGACCGGTAGTACAAGTCATGAGTTACTAAGATTTAGAGTTTACAAAGCTGGTATGAAATAAATACATCATCTGCTTGAAATATACATGAACAGATTAATAATTCTAAAGCTATCAAGAACAAGAGGTAGCTATGACTGGAACGCGGTACATCTTCAATGTCAACTCCCGCCATACGCATCAACATCGGCATCCAAAATCTGCATGCAAGGTGCAGAAGTGTAGTATGAGTACAATCGATCTCAAGTACTCAATAAGTAACAAAGTTAACCTTAGGTTAAAAGTAGTGACGAGCTTGGACAACAATTAGAGTCCAACACCAACAGCCAGGAACAACTCGTAACAATATAAATAAAGCAGTATAAGTAATAACTCAAAGATATGATGCTCAGCTCGTTCACAGTTCCAGAAAATAGGCATGTTTTTCAAGTATAACAGTAAATCCAAATCTTTCACCGAAATCATCAAAATATGAATAAATCTGAAAACTGTGATTTTTCCCAAAAACTTTCAACAACAGATAAGATGTTTCATTATCAGATGGCATGAGGAAATGCATCTCAATGCCTACATGCCAAGTATGCATGCCAACTGTAATGCAACGCAATGATAAAACCATATGCATGCTCTCGGAGTATCAATTCGCTCAGTCTTCACAGTCACTCAGTCTTCACAATCGCTCGGCACTCGCGCTCAGTAGGTACCTGGGCTCACTGCTAGTAAGTCAGACTCCGGAGGGGCGGATCCTCCCCAAGCGCTAATATAAGCCAATTATGGCATGAATTAATAAAGCCTGTTGCGGCGTGCAGCCCGATCCCATAAACATCCTCACAATCAGGCCATCGGCCTCACTCAGTCATCAATCTCTCCAGTCTCTCGGCCTCACAAATCTCATGCCAATCAAACCAAACAACGATAATATAATGTGAGACAAATGATAACAGAGACTGAAATATGATATGCAATGAATGAGTATGACTGAATATGTAATTGCAATTTAAGCAAATAACTCAACAGCAGAAATGACCTCAGTGGGTCCGAACAGGATAAGCATATAGCCTAAATATGGTTTCTAACATGGATCACAACTCAATTATTCTAGCACGTAGAAATTTCATGGATAGAAATAAAATTAGGTCACTACACAGTACCACGAAATCAATCGAGTCATAGTTCGCACGATGCACGTCCACACGTCTGTCACCTAGCATGTGCGCCACCTCAACACCAAACACATAACACGTATATTCAGGGGTTCATACCCTCAACACCAAGTTTAGAAGTGTTACTTACCTCGAACAAACCAAATCCAATACCGAGCAAGCCAAACAATACTCTAGAAATGCCATCACGCACGCATCAACCTCTGAACGACTCAAAACTAGCCAAAAGAAACTCAAATACATCAAATAATACCTAAGAAAATAAACCCAATCGATAAAGGTCGAATTTTTAATCAAAAGCCCAAAGTCAACTCAAAAGTCAAACTCGAGCTCGTACCTCGGAACCCGACGAAAGACAAAATCCGATAGCTCATTCAATTACGAGTCCAACCATACTAGTTTCACTCAAATCCGACTCGGAATCAATGCTCAACACTCGAAAATTCACTTTATGAAATTTTAGACAAAACCCCCCAATTTCTCTTTTGAAATCATCAACCAATTGCCAAAAAATGAAGATAGATTCATGAAATATAATCAAAATAGAGTAGAGAACATTTACCTCATTCCGATTCATGAAATATAATCAAAACAGAGTAGATAATACTTACCCCATTCCATATGGTAAAAATCGCCTCAAAAATCGCTTCAATCCGAGCTTTATAGCTCCAAATATGTTAAAATGGCTAAAACCCCCGGAAAATAGAGTACTTATAATCACTGAACGAATTAATGAATCGCGATCGCGGAATTACCATCGCGATCATGAAGAAGAAAAATACACTGCCCCTGAAATACACTACGCGATTGCAGCAACAACCTCGCGAACGCGATACACAAGGCTGACAGAACTATGCGATCGCGGGAACAACATCGCGAACGCGAAGAGGTAACCAGCATCCCGCCCAGCTCAACCCAAACATTACGCGAACGCGTAGAAGCAGATGTGAACGCGATGAAGACCAGACCTAACTCTACGCGAACACGTTCATCCTCACGCGAACGCGAATANGAAGACAGAGTAAATTCAACAAATCTAAGGAAGCAAGTCCTAGGCCTCACTATCTATCAATCAAGAAGGTAAAGGAGAGAAGGTTTGATTGAAAGTAGTACGTCTGCAGGGATCTGTCGTTAACGATTTGACCGGGACACATCCAATTGAAAGTCTAATCCCAACCTCTTTGGAAGGAGCTCCAAAAAAGACTTGACTTCAGAGCGGGGAATCTTCCTACAAGTGAGCACCAAGTCAAATGTATTCAAAAAGGGCTAAAAATTCACAGCATACCAAAACACCCTTCGCAATCGCGAAGAACACCAGAAGCAACAGGTAGCACCAAACAACCAGCAATGCAAAACCATTCAAAATGATATGAACCACGTCCGAAACTCACCCGAGCTCCTTAGAACTTCGCCCGAACATACCAACAAGTCCTATAACATAACACAGATTTACTTGAGGCCTCAAATTACACATAACAACATCGAAACGACGAATAGCACCTCAAATCAAACTTAATAAACCTTTGAACTTTTAACTTCCAAAACTCGTGTTGAACCATATCAAATCAACCTGGAATGAACTCAAATTTTGCACACAAGTTCTAAATGACATAACGAAACTATTCCAATTCCCGGAACCACAATCCGAATCTGATATCATCAAAGTCAACTCTCGGTCAAACTTATGAACATTTCAAACTTTCAAATTTTCAACTTTTGCCAAATAGTGTCGAAACCTCCTAAAAAATCCAAAAGCAAATCCAGGCATATGCTCAAGTCCAAAATCACTATCCGGACCTAACAGAACCATCAAAACTCTGAAACGAGGTCAAATACTAAAAAGTTAAGCTTGGTCAACTCTTCCAACTTAAAGTTTCAAACATGAAATTCATTCTTCCAAACAAATTCTGAAACACCTGAAAACCAAAACCGAAGATACACACAAGTCATAATTACGAAGCTAATCAAGACTTCAAATAGCTAAGCGGAATGTAAATGTTCAAAACGACCGGTCGGGTCGTTACAACATATCACAACATGACACGTTTAGTATTCTTTAATATTGACAGCGAAACGAAATGCAAGTACTAAAATCAAGGGGTTAGGTTGCTATAAATATTTAAAAAAAAAAAAAAAAAGGTTGTCCACTACGAGATTTGAACAATAATTTATATTCTGCTTCATAATTAATATTTAATTTTATATAATTTTTATATGAGAGATTATATTTTAAGGTTGTTTGCACATGATTCAAATAACCTACATCACAATTTGACATGATTTGTGTCCGCGATGCGCGAGTACTAATATTAGTAATAATAATAAAATAAAATAAAAAGTTCCACGTAGCTTCGCTTTTTTTTTCCTCCGAATTCCTGGTAGCTTCCAACACAACTTCTCTCCATTGACACACAACAGCAATCTTTAGATGTAAACAAGTGATTGCTTTGTTCTACTGCTCTGTCACATGTGTTAGCAAAAGGAGAAAGTATCGGAGTGAGTGAAGGGGATAAATAAATAAATGAATGAATGAGAACCGACCCGCCTTCCCTTCTTTCTCTCGCTATTGACTCTGCCCTCCTCCATATTTCTTCCTTTTCTGATCTCTCTTTCTTGCCTGAACACATCCTTCTTGACCTTTTCCTGGTAACAACCCCACTTCACTTTCTTCTTTATTACTTAGTTCTTTATCTTATCTTTCACTTAACAGTTATTTTATTTTTGTTTTTCATCTGTCAATTTGAATCACTTTGGATTTATCATCAAGTATGATTATGGGTCTTTTTTTGTCTCTATATCTAACTTGTTTGTGCTGTGATCTGATTCTTGATGCATATTCTAGGTTTTCCTTTTGTGGGCTCTTTTGCAAAATATTTGAAATGTAAATTAAAGGAATTAGGTTTGTAGCTTGACTTGCTAGCTAGCTATCTTTGAGATATCCTCTGTAATTTGGGGTGGTTTTGCATCTTTCAATTTGGGGCATGTTTTAATCTTTTTGGATTTTCAAGTATGCTTGTGTAATTTATCTTTGTTCTGATCTGAATCTGATGCATTTCTGGGTGTTTCTTTGGTGGATTCTTTGTTGCTATCCAGTTTAATCGGTGCAAATTTTGAGATGTAAATTGAAGGAAATATGTTTGTGGCTTGCACTTGTTATCTATCTATGTATCTCTGAGCTTGCACGCTTACGGCTATTTTTTCTGTTTGCCTTTGTAATTTATGGGGTTTTCATCTGTCAATTTGGGGCAGGTTTAATCTTTTTGGATTATGAAGTATGCTTATATAATTTATCTGTGTTGTGATCTGATTCTGATGCATTTTGTTGGTTCGGGGTTCCCCTTGTAATCCTGTTGTAAGTAGTGTTCAATTATCATGAATGCTGAAAGAATTTTGTGGCTTTCTCTTGGGTCAGTTTTTTAAGACTTTTGAGTTAATTACATTTTGATTGTTCTTTTGTAAGTAATATACCAATCCAGATCAAAGAGAGAAAAGACGCATTGTTTTTTTAGCTTGCACTTATATAGGTATGGGATTTATCTGACACTTTTGCTTAACAAGAATATCTTAATTCACTATAAAAAATAATCTTAGTTCAGCAACTTATTGTCAGACTGCATCATGTCAAAGTAGGAGTGGCCTAGCCTTATACAGCATATTAAAGAAATACTGGGTTGTGATTTTTATCCAAAGAATATAAGGGGAGTTTTTTCTTTTTTTTCGGTCACTTCAATATGTCCAGTCTACATGATTGTCCATGTTGTGTAAAACTGTAAATGAAAGGTGGAATAGAAATCGAATGATGAATGGCGCTAAGTGAAAACTGGAAAACCTCTCTATATTGGTAGATCTGATGAATAACTCTGAAACTTTTCGTGAAGATCCTTCTAGTTAATCATGTTGGAGCCGGTTAACATGTGATAAGACTCTGAATACTTATCTTGGCAGAGGACGTTGAGAGCTGGGAAACTAAACGAAAAGATTTTGAAGCTGTTTATTGCAACTGGGAAAGAAGAAATCCTTTCTCTAATTGACGCATTTAACATCCAATGTGTTCTTACTCCTGTGCTTCCTACTAGTAAGTTTTCATATTTAAGTCCTCCTGTAGCATCATGGCGGAATCCTTATAACAATCTAATTTTCAGGATGCTCTGAGAAATTCTGATATTGTTCTAATAACAAGCAAATTATTGCAAAAGGCTCTAGCCATTTCTCAAGAGAACGAAACCTGTTTTTGCTTTCTCGTTGTAGCCTGAAAAAATGTCTCTAGTCAGTGTGAAAGATGATGAGGTAGATATTGTGATAGCTGCAATTCAACCAGATCTTACTTCATTTCTGGAAGAATGGAGAGCAGTATTCTCCCGATTTCACCTGATAATTATCAAAGATCCTGACCACAAAGAAGAACTTAAAATTCCAGGTGGATTTAATTATGATACCTATACAAAAGCTGATATTCAACGAATTATTGGAACTTCAAATGCTGTAACTTTCTCTGGATTTTCATGCCGATATTTTGGCTATCTCTTGTCGAAGAAGAAATATATCATCTCAATAGATGATGATTGCTTTCCAGCTAAGGATAATGAGGGTAACCAAGTCGACGCCATCTCCCAACACATCAATAACCTTTCGACTCCTGCCACCCCATTTTTCTTTAATACTCTCTACGATCCTTTCCGTAAAGGAGCTGATTTTGTTCGTGGCTATCCATTTAGCTTGCGAAGTGGTGTCTCGTGTGCTCTGTCATGTGGGCTGTGTCTTAATTTAGCAGATCTTGATGCACCCACACAAGCCCTCAAGCCGGCGCTTAGGAACACTCGATACGTTGATGCTGTTCTCACTGTACCAGCTAGGGCAATGATGCCTCTGAGCGGAATCAACGTAGCATTTGATCGTGAGTTGGTGGGACCTGCTTTGCTGCCATCTTTCAGGCTGGCAAAAGAAGGAAAGTTCAGGTGGGAAACTGTGGAGGATATATGGACCGGAATGTGTGTTAAGGTTGTGTGTGATCACATGGGATATGGCGTGAAAACTGGGCTTCCATACGTATGGAGGAAAGAAAGAGGTGATGCTGTAGAGAGTTTGAAGAAAGAGTGGGAGGGGGTGAAGCTGATGGAAGAAGTTGTTCCGTTCTTTCAATCAATGAGATTGAGTCCGGCAGCAAATACAGCAGAAGATTGTGTGGTTGAGATTGCTGCAGCCGTGAAGGAGCAGCTGGGGCGAATAGATCCAGTGTTCACTCGTGCGGCTGATTCCATGGTTGAGTGGGTGAAGCTTTGGAAGACGGTCACAACCCAAACTTAATCCATTCTTGCTTCCAAACAGGTGTTGAAGTTTCATATTATTTATTTTCTGTTACATTTCCTTACAAGGTCTGTATACATGTCTTCCAGACAGTTCTCTTGCAACTGATGCATAATAGACAAGTTTTCAGATATTCTGTAGGCTGACCTTGAAATTGACGTTTACTGGTTTTTACTTGGTTTACAATGTGTGTTTCAAAATGTTGGGTTCATTTTATGTAAGACTCAACAGAAAAGCTGAAATAATTAGTGTAATTGCTGCTTCAGTCTCTTCTTGCAAGTACCTGCCCCTCTCTCTGTCTCTCTCTCTCATGAATATAGTTTTGTAGTTAACATATTCCTCTGAAAATTGTAGAAAGAGATAGTTGAAACTAATCAGATTAGGTATTGTTTGTATAATAATTTTCTTTTTTATCATCCAATATTGTTGAGACAATTTAATAAATAAAAGTGTCTCTTTTCTAGCCGCTTATTCTTTTTCTTTTTATTTGATATGATGAAGTATGCGAGCTAGTTTGTGCGCACCTTATCTTAGTCTTCTCCATGAGGTGGTGAGACTTGCGTACGTGATATGCAATAGTATCCACATAAGCTTGTAAAATAGACATATTTTAATTAGAACTAATATTAATACTCGCGCGATGCGCGGATATAAACTATGTCAAATTATGATTTGGGTTATTTGGATTATGTGCAAATAACCTTAAAATTAAACTTTCTATATAGAAATTATAAATAATTATTTGATATTAATTAAGAAGTAGGACATGAAACCATTTTTCAAATCTCATAGTGGATAATCTGTTTTCTTTTTCTATATCCGTAATAATTCAACCCCTTGATTTTAACGCTTGTATTATATTTTACGGTCAATATTAAAGAATACTAAATATGTAACGTTGTGATCTGTCTTGTAAATTATACTATTAGTTTAACAAAATTCTTACTACCACTTTATTTCTTATCTCAAATTTAAATAAGTCTTATCCTTCAATATTTTTAGCTAGAATTTTTTCTCTTTTTGTTGTTCCTTGCTTATAGTTTTTACATTATTTATTACTTAATATTGTTATATTGTAATATCATCTTTTATTAGCTTATAAATTGACTTAATGTCTTTTATTATCCTTTTAATAATTATCAATAAATGTAAAAAAAAAATATTCTTGAAATTTAATGTATTTTTACACTATTATCCTCTTACTTGAATCTCTTTCATCATTTAAATCTATTAATAATATTTTTGAGTATTATTTAATAATTTCATTTATTTTTAAACAATTTCAAGAATCACACAGAATCCTTGCAACTTCTTTATCCGAGAGTTTATCATCTTCAACATGTTAGTCGATAGTTTTTATTACTTTGGAGATGTCAACTCCTACTAATTTTGCACATCAAATTTCATCAAATAAGCTTGCAGTTTCTACATACTTACATTGCAAAATACGCAACAAAGATTATAGAATTTTTGAATCACTCATGCTAAATAAAAAAATATTTTCACTATAAATCATCATAATAAAACAAATATATTTGAACATGATTTATATAGTATGCTCTGGTTGGATTGAATTTTAGTTGTTGTAGTTGTATATTGTGGGGGTTAAATTAGGAGTCTTATTTATATTATGAGTTATACGGATTAGAAGTTCAGATTACTTTTAAGTGTCATGTTAATTAAATAGTTTTTAAAATGTTTCTTTATTTCGTTCTATTATCAAATATTAAAAATATTTAACACTTAATACTTATCAATTACTTTTAGTCAACCGACCCAAATAGACTCTAAAATGACTCTTACCAAATCTAGATATACAAGCGTAATAACATGACTAAGCAGATAGTTTTAAAGTGTTATTTTTTCTTCAATTATACTTTTATTTTCACTAAGTCTGTTGGAAGGACACCTTGTAATTGGATGGTATAGTTACTACCATAGTAATTGCACAGTCTAATATTTATAGAATATTATAATTACGTAGACATATTTATTTTCCATAATGTAAATAAATTATAATTTCATATGTCATGTTTGGTTGTACAAATATAATTAAATAATTAGATATTTTTATATTAAAATAAAATTAACAATCGAATATAAATAAACTTCTGTTTAGAAGGACAAGTAAATAAACTTGAATGTGCAATAAATATATGTGCATATAAGAAATACTAAATTTTATTTATTACTAGGTATTTAAGCTATATATGTGGGGATGAGGAAGGTGATGTGGCATGCCTCAAATGCCAGCATCTCTATTTATCTTTTTTCCTATTTCTTTTTGGATTTTTTCCCTTATTTTAATAAAATTACTCACTTATTAGAATCATTTCCCTATACATCGTTATGAGTCTTAAATAAGGAAAAAGAAAAGTAATTACTTCTTCCGTTCACTTTTACTTGGCACGTTTTGACTTTTCAAGCCCCTTAAAAAATAATAAATGAAGTGCATAATTTACCATGATACTCATATTAATTGATGCATATTTTATTGGATTTGAGAAAATGATTTGAAATGAGTAATAAATACTGTGGGTATAACAAAAAAAAAATTATCTTCTCTTGATATGCATAAAGTGACAAAAAAAATAAAAATCTATTTTTAGTATACATGCCAAGTAAAAGTGAACGGAGGGTGTTTGATTTAAAAGTGAACATTTCAAACTAGAAACGAATTTGTTTCACTTCTCCAACCGTAAAAGTAATTACTATATAAATATGAGTATTAAATTGTATCCAATTTTCTATTTTACTGTGTCCTTTGAATTCCGTACTTGACATGCCACCAATTTTCAATCAATCTCTCTTTCTATATAAATAAATATAGTGGTCATTGGTTTCATCTCAACTACATTGTCGTGAGTTTCAAAATTATCTTTTATTATCTGTTGCTAAAATAGCAAATATTTTCAACAAATGTTTGTCACTACCCGAAATTCCCACTTTCAGACCGTGATGGTGCCTAACATTTCACTTGTTAGGCAAGCCAACGTTAGAATAATATTAACTAATTTTTAAATAATTTTAAATTATTAATAATCCAAGAACAAATGCGAAAGCAAGTTTGAAATATAGTGAATAATTCATAAAAATAACGGTGTCTAAATATCATCCCAGAATTGGTGTCACAAGTGCACGAACTTCTAGAATAAATATAAATAAGGTCTGAATAAAATAAAGGTCTTTGGAAATAAACACACAGCTAAAGTAAAATAGACGGGGACTCCAGAACTGCGGACGCCATGCAGTTATACCTCAAGTCCCCTCTGGTAGCTGAAATCCGAGCAAGTCTACGGTACGCCACTGGGACCAACTCCAAAATCTGCACAAGAAGTGCAGAGTATAGTATCAGTACAACTGACCCCATGTACTAGTAAGTGTTGAGCCTAACCTCGGCGAAGTAGTGACGAGGCTAAGGCGGGTCACTTACATTACCTGTACGCAATATTAGAAATAACAACAATAATAAAAATAACCCAAGTAACTCATTTATAATAATTGAAGCCAACTCAGCAGTCATAACCAATTATCATTTTCATCAATTCAGTTACAGCGTGCAACCCGCTCTCACAATATATTCACATTCAATTTTGTTCCAGCGTGCAACCCGCTCTCACAATATATTTATTTTTAATCAAGTCTGTTGCGGCGTACAACCCGATCCTCCAATATGGACTCTTAATAAGTCTGTTACGGCGTGCAACCCGATCCTCCAATATAGACTTTTAATAAGTCCGCAACCTCCAATATAGACTTTTAATAAGTCTGTTGCGGCGTGCAACTCGATCCTCCAATATAGACTTTTAATAAGTCTGTTGCGGCATGCAACCCGATCCTCCAATATATTCATTTATCAATTCTTATAGAAGAAATTTTTTTAATAAATGCAACAATTAATATGAAATTATAAGAAAACAAGTATACAATAATTATGATTTATTCATGAAACAGACAATGTCAAATAGCAAATTATCATAGAAATCAGGGAGAAAATAGGCAGTTTAATATTTAATATGCTAAATATCAAATAACAATTAAGACACATAATTCAAGTAGCATATAACAATTAATGCAGAAATTCAAGATGTAATATTTGGCAAAGAATCGGAGAGAAATAATTATTATAATAATTAATTCATAATTTAAAATAATTTATGATTTTTCAAATAATTATGCAAATAATTAATTTGACGACGTATAGGCACTCGTCACCTCGCTTATACATCGTTCACATACATTTCACATAACAAATAATTTAAGGGTTCTATTCCCTCAATTCACGGTTAACCACGATACTTACCTCGCTTTGCAAATTTCAATCAATTACTCAACCACAGCTTTTCCTTTTAAATTTTTCTCTGAAAGCTTCAAATCTATTCACAAACAATTCGATATATTCAATACGAATCATAGGAATTAATTCCATATGAATTTATAAATTTTCCGGATAAAAATCCAAAATTTATTAAAATATTTGGCAGTGGGACCCACGTCTCAAATTCCGAAAAAATTTATGAAATCCGAACACCCGTTCCGATACGAGTTCAACCATACAAAATTTGTCTAATTCCGATATCAAATGGACCTTCAAATCTTAATTTTTCATTTTTGGAAAGATTTACAAAAATTTCAATTTCTTCCATCTAAATCCGAAATAAATGATGAATATATACTTAAATTTATGAAATACAATCACTATATGATAAAGAACACTTACCCAGTTCGAAATCATGAAAAACTCCTTTGAAATCGCCCCTAAGCCGAGTTATAATTGAGGGTTTGTGAAAAATGGAAAAAATTCCGTTTTGGTTCTGTTTTAAGTCACAAGGGTCAGGCCTTCTTCGCGTTCGCGAAGGGCCTGTCGCGTTCACGATGAGTAGCAGCCCGTGGCTTTCGCGTTCGCGAGTACTCCTTCGCATTCGCGAAGGCTTTTTCCCCCTTGGCCTTTGCGTTCGCGTGCCAGTGCTCGTGTTCGCGTATAAGGACAACTGACCCCTCCCCCAGGCCTCTAAAGCTTCGTGTTCGCGTTGAGCTGGTCACGTTCGCGAAGGGTAAAGTCCCCATTGCTTCACGTTCGCGAAGAAGAAAAATTCAGCCAGCTCAGTTTGCTCTTCGCGTTCGCGAGAGTACATTCGCGAACGCGACGAATGAAATACCAGAAGCCCAAAGTGTGCAGAAAATCAGATTTCCTAAGTTCGAAATTATCCCGTAGCCTATCCGAAACTCACTGAGCCCTCGGGGCTCCAAACCAAACACGCACAT